GATCTATTGTGTTTTTTAATTATGCAGATCTGAAATTTTTCTTAAATTAGAAGAGGTTTTAGTAAAAATTTGTCATAAAAGAAACTAGAGTGTTAACCTCTTTTTACTATCTATGTTAGGTTTCAGAAAGGGCCCAAAGCATATTTTAGGCATTCAGCCAGCCTAAAACTTACTGAAAACAGGCATAACATGAAATGCTTGCAAAATAGATGGTGTATAGTTGACCCTTGAACAACATAGCTTTGAACATTGTGGGTCCACTTACATGTGAATTTTTCTTTAATAAATATGTAACACTACTAAGGATCTGTGGTTGGTTGAATCTGTGCATGTGAGACTGTGGGTACAGAGTGCTGACTGCAAAGTTAATTTCCAGTGTGCATGGATTAGGGGTCACCTACACAGGTGTCAGCCACCTCTAACTCCTCCTTTGTTCCAGGGTCAACTGTATTTTGAAATAACACCTAAGGATTGGCATTTGATGAAGACTCATAGTATTATTCAACGATGCCAAGTGTATTTTGTTACTCTCTGGTGTTGTTTTCCTTTGTCTTGTCCTTTCTCCACCTTTCTTTTCCAGCCTGTTTTTCTTTCTATTCCATATTTTTCTTCCTCCTGCCCCTCCTCCCTTTCTTGCCCTTTTCTATCACTGTTCTTGCCCTCATCTTCACTCTACAAGGTCCTGAAACCTGTATTGATTCTACTTTTAATATTGAACTTTAACCTTGACCTAATATTCAGTGGAACTGCAAAATACAGGCACATATTGTTTTATTGCACTTTTTTATTGTACTTTGCAGGTGTAACTTTTTTAACCACGAATTTGGTGGTTCGTGGCAAGTCTATGTCAGGCAAGTCTACTGGTACCATTTTTCCAACATTTGCTCACTTTGTGCCTCTGTCACACTTTGGTAATTCTTGCAATATTTCAAACTCTTTCATTATTATATTTGTTGTACTGATCTATTATCAGTTAAATTTGATGTTACTATTGCAAAGAAAATTATGATTTGCTGAAGGCTCATATGGGGTCGCCCAGAGTCAGACCCGACTGAAGCGACGCAGCAGCAGCAGCATATGATGATTAGCAATTTTTTAGCAGTCAAGTATTTATAAATTAAGGTATGTACATTTTGTTCATGGCTGATTCATGTCAATGTATGACAAAAACCACTACAATATTGTAAAGTAATTAGCCTCCAACTAATAAAAATAAATGGAAAAAAAATTGGATCCTTAATAGACTATAGTATAGTGTAAATGTAACTCATATGCACTTGGAAAACCAAAAAGATTGTGTGGCTTGCTTTATTGCGATATTCACTTTATTGCTGTGGGCCAAGATTGAACTTGCAATATCTCAGAGGTATGCTTGTACTGTAAACTGTGCTATGAGAACAGGAGGAGTCAATATTTTCACCAAGGAAGAAAAACGGAATTATGATGCAGCTGGGTCTCTTTTACCCATGAAACATTCAGACACTTTTTGTTTTTTTTTTAATTCAAAATCAGAGAGACACTGTTATTTTTCTTCCCCACACTAAGCTATCCTAGGAGAATGAAGTGAGGGTGTCAAAGAAATGTTATCTAAATAACTGTCCATGTGGGGAAAATTTCAGGTAGGAAAAGAGTTTCTTAAGGCAGCTGTGTCATAAATGCACCACAGTGCAGATTGTAAACACTGATTTAGTTCTATAAAGATTTTTTTGAAAATTTGAATATTCATTGTGACCTTCTAAAGAAGTAATGTAAACTCTTTCTTTAGAATTTTAAACTCTTTTCCCTCACCTATAGTCAAGTAGAGTCATCACTCAGTATCTAAGGGGGGATTGGTTTCAGGATGTGTCACCAATACCAAAATCCATGAATCTTCAAATCCCCTAGTTGGTCCTTTGTACCCATGGATTCCACATCCTTGGATTCAGCCATCCCCAGTCATAAGCATACTAAGTGATCAAAGGTTCATTGAATCCCTGGATGTATAGACCCTGGATGTGGATGGATGACTGCAAATAGATTACTATACTATACTTACTGAAAAAGTGAGAATTTTCTTCCTCAAAAGACACTTGAATAGAGTACAAACCTACTTTTTAGAGTCAGATAAAATGTTTGAAGTGCACATAACCAACACAATCTTGATATTCAAAATGTTAATAGTTGTCTGTGAATCAATAAGAAAAAGTGATACCCTATTTCTCTGCAGGCAAAAATATTGAATAAGACTTTCAGGAAAGAGGAAATTCAATTGATTGATTAGCTTATGGAACGGTACTCCACCTCATTAGTATCATGAAAAGTTTAGTACAGCTGTTGAAGTGTGTGCACTAGAGTGTCTCAAGTGAAAATGATTTAGGACGTTATTTCAGGTTGAGGTTTCTCCTCCTAACTGCACAGGAGCAGGAAGCTAGAGGATGTGGAAGAACAACCACTGAGGAAAGGAGGATGTATCTGACGCTCACCCACGGTTGCACATGTGGAGCCACTAGAATTCCCATACAGTGCTGGCGGGATTACAGATTGGTACAGCCACTTTGAAAAACCATTTGTTTCAAGAGAACAGCATCGAAACATGTATATTATCTAGGGTGAAACAGATCACCAGCCCAGGTTGGGTGCATGAGACCAGTGCTCGGGCCTGGTGCACTGGGAAGACCCAGAGGGATCGGGTGGAGAGGGAGGTGGGAGGGGGGACTGGGATGGGGAATACATGTAAATCCATGGCTAATTCATTTCAATGTATGACAAAAACCACTGCAATGATGTAAAGTAATTAGCCTCCAACTAATAAAAATAAATGAAAAAAAAAAAAAGAAAAACCATTTGTTAGGGTCTAGCATAATGGAACATGTGTATTCTCCTATTAGCATAGCGAGGTAAGTTTCTTGCTTGTGTGTGTGTGTGTGTGTGTGTGTGTGTGAGAGTCACTGGGTTATTTCACTTAAGAAAAGGGGAGTTGTTGTCTAATGATTATAGACTTGGAGATTTGTAAGATGAAGAAGTTCTGGAGGCCTGTTTCACAATAGTGTGAATGTGCTTAACACTGCTGAGTTGCCCACTTAAAATGGGTAAGATGATAAATCTTACATTTCTGTGTTTTCCCACAGAAACCAAGACTGTAACAAAATGAAATGAAAACAAACTAAATATAAATCCAATATATTTAAGCAGTTTAGTTTTGTTCTTATTCTTATTCTAAACACAATGAAGCTCACATAAAAACAGTTCCAACAATGTCTTCCTTTGGCAAAAAAATGATTTTAAAGCCCACAGATGATTAAATTTATTCCACCAAAGTGAAATGAATGGAAATTTTTAGTTCCTTACTTTTTTTTATTAAATGGTGGATGGTTTGCTTTTTTAAAAAAAATAAGAACACAAACAAAACAAAAGCTGAAATCTGGAAAAATGAGGGCTCATATTTATCAAAGAGCAAATAAGACCTCATGTAACTTTTCCTAAAAAAAACAGAACACCCCACATTCCCTATGAAAAGGAAGTGGTATCTTTAATACAAAAGCATAAGATGTACTATCTTTTTACTTACATTTCAACAACATTTAGAACAGCAATATTTTTCTATCATTTGCATGTTCATTCTTAGAATTTATTTTAATCACACTTTTAATAAAAATTAAGCTATGATTTAAAACCCAATGGTTTCCTGCATATCGCAAACACACATGATTTGTGTGAGAAATCACTAAAAGCATTTCAGACCTGTTACAAAAAACAGATTGACAGCCACATCAAAGACTCAAGAGAAGTTAATTACTATATTGTTACCAGATGTTTCTAACCACTTCAGATATAATTAGGTCTCAATATTTAAGTCAGACTAGTTTCTTCCTTAAGCACTAAAGATCACTTTTTACATTCCTATTAGAAATTAATCTTTGTTATAAACTATACCAAAAGAAGCAAGAAAATGTTTACCACATTATGGACTTAAAAAATTGTGGGTAAAATTAGAGTTCTTTGAGAGAAAAAGCATGTTCCTTGTTTCATTATGTTTGTGCAAACAAAAACTCAGCTTAACTTTTCATAGAAGACTAAATGTTACTATACCAATAGATTATAAACTATAAAGCCAAAAACATACGCTTTATTAAAGGATATGAGGTAGATGAGAAAAAAGTCATGTCCTACCAACAGAGGACTTCCTTCTTCTGATTCTATTCAAGAACTAGACTCCATAATAACCAAAACAGAATAAGCAAACTATTCTGGGCAGGAAGAAATACCAAGAGACAACTCTGAAATAAACAAAATGGCCAATACACACTAACAATACAAAATCACCTACTGAATTTTGCCCAATCCCCCATAAACCAGAAATCAATAAGCTAGTACTTTAACCAAAGCACTATCACTGTTATCACAAGGAGCATCATATATCCACTAATGGATAATAAACCACAAACGCAGATTAATAAACTTCAATGTGAAGTCACAGAAAAACAGTTTAATGACTAAAACTTGAGTAAGCAAGAAATAAAACCTAAGACAGAAACCAAGAAAAAAGCCATATGTTTTCAAAGTACACAGAGCTAAAGTAATATTTGGAAAAATCTTACATAACAGGTTGAGAGATCTCATTCTCAAAGTTCAGTGGCACACAATGTATAAGAGATAACTAAAAATGGTTTGGTGCCCTAATAAAATTCTACATTTTGTTGTTACTGTGGTTGTACAAAGGAGGAAGGGGACCAATTTTTTTGTTACTCCTGGTAAAACATTAACAGGTGGCAAGTGGCTTAGAAAAGGTGAATACCATGAAGAACAAACTCATATATAATACAACAAAAAACATTTTCTCGGTGTTCACATCAAAACCTTTTTTAAGATAACCATCCTCTTCATGGAAAGAAAGTTTATTTTAACAACATAGTGGATACGGGCCTGTTAACACAAAATATACTCTAAGAAGCAGCACTCCAATCAATAGCATCGAAAATTGCAGAGATTCTTGGGTAAATCTCCTCCTGCAATTTACTTACCTCCACTGACTGCGTCTTGCTCTTCGCCTTCAGGAAAAGCAACCTGGCTTGGCAAGCTATTCCTAGATCGAGTGACTGTCTCTAACTGGGAAGCCCGTCCCAATAAAGACAGCTCATCTAGCACCTCTCCCTCTTTGGCCTCCAGATCGGATTTTGAAGTGGTTAAGGGTTTTACGCTTTCGGGCGCCATGAGCCTACTGGAGTCGTTCAGACACGCTACCGTGCTGCTGTCCAGGCTCAGCACTCGGGCCCGCGTCTTGGCACTGTTTGTGCTGGAAGTCCGCCGTGCTGTCCGCTTTTTGCCAGTCCCCTCGGGGCCCAGGTGGGCCTTGTGTGTGTGCTCAGCGTCGGTGCCCCTCTCCTTAGGGGCGTGTTTGGTCTTCAGGGCACTGTATCTGCCCTCCGGAGACTGACAAGAGTGAGACGTGGTGCTAGAAGAGCTATCGCTGCTGAACTGGTGAGCAGACTGCACACTGGACGCTCTGCTCAAGTCACTTTGGTCACTGGAGTCCTCGTCGTGGCAGAATATAGCACTATGCGGCTTGGTACCAGAAACACCTCGAAAGGACACATAGTCCCTATGCCGACTTGAATCGAAACTGCTGGCCCGCTTTTTCCCTGTCCGTCTCCTGCCTGACTTATGCGCAGAGGCTGTCCGGTGGATTAGGCTGGAGGACTTAGGTCTCACATCCCCTTCCTTCTGCTTTCCACCAACATCTTTACTACCTTTCGAGTCCACTGACACAGCTGGCTTCTCACCCTCCTCCTCTTTGTTTTCAGCAGTCTTCCCAAGTGGTGTGTCCCCCTGTGAAGTGAATTCATTTGCATGGGGGTTTTTATTGGCTTCTTCAGATGCAGAGGCGCTGAGACCTTTCTGATTGTGCACGTCATCAGAGCCGTTAGAATCCTTGGCCTCCTGAACCCCACTATTGGTGCTCACGTCCACGGCAGTCTTTTCACTGCTAGTCCTTTTGTCACCGGCACAGCTATTCTTGTCCTCTGCCTCGGCACCGCCCTCTCTCTTCTGACCGCTCTTCTTCGCCGCCTGGGGAGACTCCTCGTGCTCTGACAAGACGCTCTCGATGTGAGTGGAGCTGGTCTGCTCGCTTTTGTAGCTGCTGACGGTGCTGTGGGTGTCCCGGTCCGTCCCGCTGCAGTAGCTCTCCGTTGAGCCACTGCTGCGCGTGCTCAGGCTTCGCAAGCTGTCCATGCTTTTGTCTGCATTCAAGGGTTTGCTCTTCCCACTTCTGGTAGGTGGCTGAGAATTACTGTTTTTCAGCTCGCCAACCAGCTGAAATTCCCCAGGTAAACACGAATTTTCCACCAAGGATTCTTTGGATCCAGAATGAGGCTTGGAAGATTCTAACTCACTAACAGGATCCAACCCACGTCTTTGCTGATACAGAGGGAAGTCATTCAGTGAGGTGTCTGGAAAAGCCACAGCAGAGCTAGAGGTCCGCGGCACACCCCGCGGCCGGTGCTCTTTCCTGTAAGAGTGAGAATGTAACGGGACGAGAGAAGCCACTTCCGTGTCACAGGCGTTGGACAGGGACTGCTCGACATGGTGGTGGCTGTGACTTGGCAGGCTCACTTTGTCGCTGAAGTCCCTTGGCAAGTCCTGTCCACATGAGGACAAGGACGGCTGAATGGAGATGAAGGAATCATTGGAGACCAGGCGGAAGAGCTTCCGGTCAGCTGCCAAATCTGTTTCAAACATATATTTGGAAATGTTAACACAAATCTATAATCTGTTTTTCTACCATCTAACAATGGAAAGAATTCACAGTGTACCATAAATTACACATAAACTATTTCCCAAGTAGCTCACTGAATAACAGTTGGCCAGTCATTCCAAAGGGCTTGTTTCCATTTCCCAGCTCAAGAAAGAAAGCATTCTACTAATGGAATGAACTGAACTTCCAAATCTTCAACGAACCTCAGGAAAAGTGCTATGGACTATCAACAATAAAAGAAGAAGCAACAAAGGATTACATTTAAAACAGAACTGGAATGCTGTGTAAGTTCTGTCCCTAACTTACTAACTGGGTAAAGGTGGGTTACCTTTTCAAGCCTCTGTTTCCTCATCTGTAAAATGTGATATCAATCTCACCATGGGATAACTGAGTTAATAACATACTTACTTAACACAATGCCTGGCACAATTAATGGTAGCATCATTATTTTACCTAGCTAAATTTAAAATCTTTTTGAAAAACTAATATAATTGATTTTTCAAATCCACAATAACAGAGTAATCAGAAACAAACAAACAAAATCAAAAGGTTGACCAAGGCCCAGACCAAGGCCCAAGATATGGTATAATGATAGAAGATATCTTCCTGTTCACAATGGTTGAAAGTATTAAAATAATAATTACACGGCAAAATACTACATTTTATCTTTTACCACTGACACAGCAATTAAAAATCCTTCATGGAAAAAAATACATATTCCCCCAATATCTGTAAGATTATTCCTTGTATTAAAATAATAATTACACGGCAAAATACTACATTTTATCTTTTACCACTGACACAGCAATTAAAAATCCTTCATGGAAAAAAATACATATTCCCCCAATCTGTAAGATTATTCCTTAACCCTTCATTTAGGGCAGGGATTAATGACTTATCATATATACTATACACACATAAAGATAGATAAAAATATAAATAAACCCATCTACCCACCTACCTACATTGTCACTTATCTTGAAATATAGACTAACAACCAAACTGTACAGTAGCTGATTTTTTTAATATACCTTTTAAACAGACAAGGATTGCTGAGTTTGCTGTTAGTTCAATAAAAAGAAATGTTATTCAAATTACTATTTTAAAAATACCAAGATAGGACTTCCCTGGTGGTGCAGTGGATAAGAATCTGCCTACTAATGCAGGGACACAGGTTCACTCCTTGGTCCAAGAAGATTCCACATGTCACAGAGCAAATAAACTCATGTGCCACAACTACTGAACCCATGCACCCTAGAGTCTCTGCTTTACAACAAGAGAAGCCACCACAATGAGGACTCCACGCATTGCAAAGAAGGCCCAGAGCAACCACAAAAAAAATAATAAAGAAATAAATATATATATATTTAAAAACTAGATGACATCAAATACATTTAAAAAAAATACTAAGTCATACACTGTCCCAAGCACTTTCTGCTTCCCAAACTTCTACTCAAGTTGTAAATGAGGGTCTCATTAACCCACCTTTACTTATTGAACACACTGAAATCGCCCCCATCTGCACTAAGCATCATGTTCAGAGCAAGCATCGTTACAATAAATGCATCTGACTGAGATTAAATATTTCATTTAAAAAAAAAAAGAAATTTTATTGTCTTATTTGTCATAACTGCATAGGAAAAATACAGTAACAGAGTCTATAATAAGTCAGACTCTTCCCAGTCATTACCTTAAATTATAAAAGCATAATTTTCCCCCTAAGATTAATATAAAATAAGAATGACTTCTAGAAATATTTATGGACTTCAAAAAAAGCTTAATGTAGGTTAGATCTAAACAACTAAAAATCTAAACTAGAGATACTCTCTAGAAAGTACCATACAAACTGTGATTTATAAATGACCTATTAGGCTTTATCTTGTGTCTTAAAGTCCTCAAGGTAAGTGAAACCAATACTCTTTTCATCTGTTCAAAACTGTGCCATTGTAGATGGGTTCTTATATTCTCTAAAAAACCCAAATTTAAAAACCAGCACTGTATTTACTTTTCTATAGTATTAATTTATAATGCTATTTTTAAAAACTCTCAATATATGTCCCTATTAAGCAATTATGGGGTGATGTAATATTCACACTTCAAGGATATTTTATAAAACAAACCTAACCGAGCAAGTAGCTGAAAATCCCTAATTCTAATATACAATAGACTTTAAAAAATACCAACTCCCAAGACATTAACGAAGCAGAAATTTAAGTTTTTCATTTTAAAAGACATAGTCAAATTTAATTTAACACATTTGTTTTTTTCAGTGTTGCTGAATAAATATATCATAATATGTTTGACTCTGTCAGGAAGAATTTTAGGTGGTTTTAAGAAATTTTAAGTAAACATGCTTTCTTAAGACAGTTTTTCTTCCTGGTAGTGATACTGTCAAAGACAGGATCAAACCAACGCAGAGAGATACTATTTTTCACCTAATTAAACTTTTTTCCAGTGATTGCTACTAGTAGTATTCAGATTAAGAAAGTCACCTTAGGCACTATTCATGGTGTGCAAACTGGTGCACCCAACCTTCTACAAAGAAATTTGGCGAGGTAATCAAAAACCTTCAAAAAGCCTTTGATCAATAATCTACTTCTAGAAATTCCTGCTAAAAGATAAAATCAGATATTTGTACAAGGTTCTGAAAAAGATTATTCATGAAAGGACACCAGAGATACAAGGTGACAGGTAACAGAGGAAGTGAGGATGAAGGAAGAGATGTGGAATTTTTTAGGAACGTAAGAGAAATAAAGCAGTTTGTTTTTTATAATTGCTGGGGATGATCTAGAAGAGAGGAGGAAGTTATGATTTTTGTTTATAAAAGTAACATGTTAATTCTATAAAATCCCGTTAAGTATGAGGAAGAAGATTAACATTTCTGCCACTGAGATAACTGTTAATGTTTTTTGGTGTACCACTTTTTTCCTTTTTACTGTGATATAATTCACATTATCATAAAACTCACCCTTTTAAGAATAAAATTCAGTGGTTTTTAGTATATTCACAGATTTGGGCACTCATGACCACTGTCTAATTCCAGAACATTTGCATCACCCCAAAAAGAAACTCATAGCCACTATACTCATTTCCTTCTTTAGCCTCTGGCAATCACTCCTGTCCCTATGCATTTGCCTATTCTGCATATTTCGTGTAAATGGAACTATATAATGTGTGACTTTTGGTATCTGACTTCTTTCACTTTACATGTTATATTATTTATCAGGACTTTATTCTCTTTTATGGCTAAATATGGTATATTACTTTTAACATTCCTATGAACATATGCACACATACCCTTAGTATTCTCTTAGACTCTTACACACTGGAATAATATTTTTTAAAATAACTTTATTCATTTAGTTTTCTGCCTCTGCTGGGTCTTTGGTGCTGCGCGGGCCTTTCTCAAGCTGTGGAGAGCGGGGCCTTTCCCGAGTTGCAATGTGTGGGCTTCTCACTGCGGTGGCTTCTCTTGTTGCAGAGACGGCCTCTAGGGCTCACAGGCCTCAGCCGTTGCAGTATATGGGCTTAGTAGTTGTGGCTCCTGGGTTCTAGAGCACAGGCTCAACAGCTGTGGTACATGGGCTTAGCCACTCCAAGGCATGTAAGATCATCCCGAATCAGGGACTGAACCCATGTCTCCTGCATTGGCAGCCAGACTCTTCACCACTGAGCCGCTAGGGAAGTCCAGTCATATGTTTTATATAGTGCCATCTTTTTCACCTTAAATATTTTCTCATAGTATTGTCCATCTTTTTCACCTTAAATATTTTCTCATAGTATTGTGTAATCTTTGAATACATTTTAGTACCTGCATAGTGTTATTATTAAGACAATATAATTTATTCAACCTTTTTATTGCATGTTTTTAAATTTCTTTTTTTAAGGAGTTTTACAACAACCTGAGATGAAATTCACCAAAAAGTAGTATATAGTCACTGTTTTCAATTATTATCCTCTGACATGTATTCTACTCCCAACCCATTAAGAAGTTACCAAGGTCACCAACACCCTCTGTGCTGTGAAGTCCACTGGTCAAGTCTCAATCTCATAAAATTTGGCCTAGCAGCAACATCGGACAAAGCTGACCACTCTCCCCGAGATGTGGGGATACACCCCTCTACCTCACCAGTTGTTCCAATTCAGTCTCCTGGATCTATTTAGATTGCAGTGGTTCAGAGCTCGACCGTGAGAACTCCTTCATTTTTCTACCTATACTCTCTCTCTCATATGTTTCATCCACCTTTTCTGGCCCCATAATAACTAAAATTCATAAGTACTTGTAATTAGTTCCTCCATCTGCTACCCAGCCTCAGTACTCATACAGGGATGGACTAGAGTTCTGATCCTGGGTAGGGAAAACATGAATGAGGCTGAGGAGGGAAACTGCAGATAACCCCTTCTTAGAAAACATACATGACACAACCCCACAACCTCAGTTTTCTCCCAATCATTCTAAATCAGTTTGATAAAATGAGTGCCAACTAGTCAACTAACTGCTAACCAACTCACTAAAGGTCACTGTCCTATAAATCCAAAGTGGCCAGAGAGCCAGAGGCGTCTCAGCTGGTATTTAAGCCAGAATGAACAACCGCCACTAGGTGGCGCCAAACCGCAGCCAGGACGGACTAGATCCGGATCAGGGAACCCGGCGGCCTGAACTACAGGCCCAGCTAACCATACAGGCATTCCCTGTTAGTTCACTAACTTGCTATTAACCCAACCCCACATATGACATAACTGAATTTTTCTTTTTTAATTTATACACTGAAAACTCCTAAATTTAAAACCTCAGCCCAGATATCTTACCTAAAATCCAAGCCTATGTAATTATCTACTAATTACTGCTGTTTAGAGGTCCTACAGCAACTCATACCTGATATGGCCAAAATGAACTTCTCGTGCCCTTCAGCATGCTTTCCCCACTTATAAATCACTCCTTCTCAGTTTCTCCTTTTCAGTTAATGGAGAATCCATCCTCCCCATAATTTAACCCTCAAATCTTAAGAGTCATCTATGACTACTATTTCTTTCACATGGTATCTCCAAATCCATCATATCCTTTCATTAACATCTGCCACAGTCAGACCGGGCTTCCCTGGTGGCTCAGCTGGTAAAGAATCCGCCTGCAATGCAGGAGACCTGGGTTCAATCCCTGGGTTGGGAAGATCCCCTGGAGGAGGGCATGGTAACCTACTCCAGGATTCTTGCCTGGAGAAGCCCCATGGACAGAGGTGCCTGGAGGCTACAGTCCATGGGGTTGCAAAGAGTTAGACACAACTGAGCAGCTAAGCACACAGTCAGACCACTTCTCACTACCCTGATCTGTGCTCTGATTACTGCAATAATCTGCTACTGCATCAGCCTCTGCCCCTTTTAATACACACTCAAATAATACAGGAGCCAAAATGACTGTTACAATGTAATAGAGACGATGATACTTCTCTGTTCAAAACTCTATACAGCTGTTCATCTCATTGGAAACTGAAAGCAAAATCTCTAAAATGGCTTACAAGGGACTTCCCTGGTCCAAGTCCAGTGCCTCTGTGCTCTCAATGCAAAGGGCCTGGGTTCCATGCCTCATCAGGGAACTAGATCGCACATGCTGCAACTAAGAGTCTGCATGCCACAACTAGAGATCCTGCATGCCACAACAAGGGCCCAGCACAGTCAGATAAATAAACATTTTTAAAAAATAAATAAAATAAAATGGCTTACAAGACTTTAACGTGGCCCCTCGCTCACTCCGTCCCAGCCACACTATCTCTGACAGGCATGTTCCTGTGCTGGGACTTCTGCCTGTGCTGGCACCTCTGGCACAGAGGCAGTCTCACTGCTCCCAAATATCTTGAACAGCTCACTTCTTCTCCTTCAGGTCTCTGCTCTCAGCAAGCTTTCCCCTCGACCATTCTGTAATATTTAAACTTACAATGCCCACAGCGCCCAACCCACCACTCCGTATCCCGTCTCTATTACTGCATACACGTTTGATTCACAGCAGCACGTTTCCATACTAATAGTATGAAAGCCACAGTGGTAGAAAATTTTGTCTGTTCAATTGATTTCTAGTACTTAGAATGGTATCAGACACACATGAGTACTCAATAATAACTGCTAAATACATGGGGAAAATGTTACATGATAAAAGAAGTTATAAAACTGTATGAAAGCAGTATAGGATAGTGATTAAAAGCAGAATTTAGAACTGGATTTGAACTACAGGGCTGCTACTTTGCAGACAGGTGATTTTGGGCAAGTTTCTTACAACTTCGCTCCTCGGTAAAGTGAGAATAATAACACTGTGAACTTCAAATGCCTGTCATGGAGATTAACTGGGTGAATGTACATCAAGTGCTTAAGCGATGACCTAAACCAGGGTTTGATTAACTAAGGTCTGTAGAGCCAAAGTGGCTTTCTGCCTGCTTTTGTAAATAAAGTTTTAGTATAACACAGTCATTCCCACTCATTTACAGGCTGTTTACAGCCTCTTTCGCTCTACAATGGCAAAGCTGAAGAGCTGCAGCAGAGACCAGTGGCCGACAAAGCTTTAAAGGAGAAGCGTGCTGACTCTTCACGGGGCAGCAGTATGCACTCGGTGACTGTATATGTCATCACTGTCTACGTCAGTATGTACCTGCCAGGGGAGAGCTGTGTGAATATAATTCCCAACCTGCCAGACTACAACATTCTTGCTCACACAAGGTACTTCCCAGATGAAAATAAAGAGACCTACGACCCATAAGTGCAGTGGCATTAGCCCCTCTAAGATCACTACCCAGTTTCTGAGACACTGCTGATTACGTATTATACAAAAGAACACTGTGATTCTCAGAGATTAATTCACCTTTCCCTTTTATAAGAAAATAGCTTTCAGACCATATAATACCTTCAAATGTATTTTTTTAAGGGGAGGGGACAGGCTGTGAGGGGTGGTCCACCAAAGCAATTAAATAATGATGAGGTACTAAGCAATTACAGTGATAAACCTAAAATTCTAACAAAATATCCTTGTAAGAATCAAACCTGGGTAAAACACTACATTAGCGGGAAAATGTCTCCGTTCAATGATCGATTTGTAACCCTATAAATAAGTTTCATAATTGAGTATAATAGGAAATGTATCAGTCTGCCTGCCTACCAAACATCACTCATAAGCTAACAATAAGAACAAAAAGAAACAGGCTGGAAATAGGGAGACAGGTTTCTGACCCAATTCTGTCTCATTGATTATACAACCTGGGATAATCTCAACTGGAAATGGGTATGGCATATCCATCCTTTCATGTCTGAAAGTTAAAAATCAAACTCAAACATGTGGTAGTTCTTTAAAAAAAAAAAAAAAGAACTCTATAAAATCCAAAGTACTCATTTACAATGAAGTTGAATAAGGAGAAAAAAAAATAATTTAAAACCAAAATTTACATTACAAATCTGCTACAGGAAGACACCATGTTGGAGGCAGACAGTTTCTCAGTAAGTCCAACAGCAAGTTATTTCTCTGTCAAACACACTGTTGTTTCTGCAGCCGGGCAACATATGCAGCAGTTGGCATTTAGAGGTCATACTGAATGGAAAAGAACAGCTTTACATACTAGGTTATCAGTAAGCTTAGCAAGATGCTCTGACCAACTAAAGGAATAGCAGATTCTTATCTCCCATCTCATATTCATTCTACGGCATATGCTCACAAAGTTTCTCTATTTACTTGGCAGAACATGTGAAGCTGAATTCCAAAAGCTATGAGTACTTATAACACTGTGCTACTGTTATGCTAGCAAATAATTTTATTTCAATGTTTCTAAAAAACCACACTAAATTAATTACAAACTTCTGCCAAAATATGAGCAGCACATTGCACAAATTCACCCTGGTCATCACAATACATGATGCTGCCATGAAGTAAATTGTTCTTACCTTGTTCTTCACTTCCCTCCTTACAAAGACTAGAGCTCTGGCCCAGACTTAAACTGATATCATCAGAAGTCTTAGCGGTGTCTGTATCTCCTACAAAGTTAAGAGAAATCCAAGACGACATTATATTAAAAGTAAAAGCTGTACAGGTGGCATAACAAGGAAGGACATAAGAGAGTTTTTTAGATATTTATTAACTAAAGCAGTTTTTCTATCAAGGGTTACAATAAAAGAAGCATTAAAGTGATAGGAAGAATCATAAACTGTCAGATCACATATGCTATAAACCAAATATGGAAAAGCCTCATAATACTAGTTAATACAACTATTTCTTTCAAAAGGAGTTTTAAAAATGAAATGCAAATTATGTAATAACTTGAAACAATTTAAAAGTCCCTCCCAGGAAAAATTAGAGATTTATAAAATTACAGGGCAAAAATAATAATGATTTATTTGACACAGATGTATTGAATAAATGAGATTTACATGATGCATCGGAAAAAAAATTTTTTTCGTGTCTTATTTGTGCCTAATTTAAAGGTTTCACATTAAATTCGTTTTCTATGAACCCCACTAAAACCCAAGAAAGCATTTGCCCTCAAGGCAAAGAAGTTTCTTAAAGATCAAAACGTACAATTCATACAGTGTAATCCAAGTGGTTAAAACACTGTTATGACATGTGGATGATAAAAAAAGTGAAAGTGAAAGCCACTCAGTCATGTTGAAAAGGGACCACAATTTAAATCAAGCAATCTTTAATACGATATATAATTTTATCCACAAAATAATTTCAAGGATGATTTTTCATTACATGTAAATACATGAGACAATTAATTATCTTTATTACGACCAAAAAAGAAATGGGAAGTCAGAGGTAATGTTCAGGGGAGACCACACCCACCTTTAATAGTTGCTGCTGTTCCAAGACGAGAGGAGCCAGATCCAATCTGAAAACATGACATGAAGTAAACACGATGCTAGCTACGCCATCAGCATAGACTAGCAAGATTATCAAATGAAATTATATTATCAAAACAAGGTATCAGTCACTTTCAGCAAAAGATCATGATATATCAGAGCCACACTCTGCTGCAGCGGGCAAGGCTCGCCTAGCACACACACGCCAGGAGACTGAATCCCTGCACGCTCAGGGCTGATGGATCCCGGGAAGAGCCACCATCTCAGACAGTCTGGGTCAAACCATCACTGTCGGTTTTATATTGCATCAGGACATGCTCCAGTTATAAACAGAAAAACTAGGTGCCAAGTCTACCTGAAATAAATGTGGACTTTTCAGGGATTATAAAAAGAAAGTCTGGAGGATAAAACATAGTAACAAAGAGCAACCTAAATCTTCCTGTCAAACTGTTAGTGCATCAATATGCACTTTCCTGAGATTCGGGCAGGAAGTACTTTGTAGGCTGCTATAATGCAATTTTAAAAAATACTAATAAAAAACACTAAGGCATTTAAGAAAAAGGAACTTTTAGCACAAACTCTATAAACAGAACACTATTATAAATCTGTGGAGTTTTTAGGGCTTATACTCAAGATGGTATACAATTTCCCTAAAATTTTATAACCATCATGTATTATACTATCATAACAATCATATAAACAAATACCACAAATTCCATGAACACATTAAGGAAACCAAATATAACAACATGACAGTTTTTTACTAAATCAACAAGTCTGAGTAGTTCTTATTATAACCTGTTTTCAAGGGATTCAAGACAGAACAGTCAAGCAAATTTTTTTTTCAGTCAAGCAAATTTAATATCTTTATACTAAAACCAAGAACATTCACAGAATACTTGCATTTTGCCAAATCTTTCCCTTCAACTGATTCAACTGAAAAGAAGTATACAATGAGAAATTTGGTAAAAGTATAGCTAATAGTGACTTTAAAGGAGCATGAGGGACTTCCTTGGTCTGGATGGCAATTAAATGGGTGTACACATTATGTAAAAACGTACTGAGCTGTACACTTAATATGCATACACTACACATATGAAAGCTACATGTCAGTGAAAAACAGCAAAAATAAGCATATGCATATAGGTTAAAACTACTAATAAGCAGTATAGACCCAAAAAAATGAGTTTGCAATATTTTTGAACAGTTTATTAAGTTTGATTCTCCTGCTTTTTCCTGATATCTGCTTTCAATTAGCCACAAAAAGCACTGCAATAGGGAGAAAAAGGCCCCAAAAGCATTTTACTGCAAAAAGAGTTTCATTCTAAACACACCTGCTATATAAATAAGTTAAAAAACCAACAAGTTATTTTTCTACTAGAATAATAAACACATAACTTCCTAGACAGAAGCTTACAAGCAAGTAAGGAAACCAGAAAGTGCCATTTCGTGGCATCCTGCTAAGAATTTAAACTTTAAAAACAGAAAAGCTTTTTGAATATGCATACAGTAGTCATTTGCTCACAACCTCAGTGTTTCCTTTTCCTCCTTAACAAGCTTCTCATTTTGTTCAAATGTTGGACACATATCTTTTGATTTATGAAGAGAGGACCCAGACTCTAATCTAGGTGCGTGCCCTCGTTCTGGTCAATGAATGTATGGGAGAGTCTATTGGAAGGCTCTGGGGAAAGACCTCCCTGTGTCTGAGACAATGATGACCAAGGACAGACAACTCTGCCCCAGACTGTCACCTGCTTCTTCACTTTTCAACAGGATCATAATTGAAGCTGCTCTGCTCATTCCGCAACTCTGAGAGAAAGCCCGAAGGCCTAGGGAAATTCCAACCCAGAGCCCTAATAATGTTTAGCTGCTGAACAAATGCTATACAACCAGCTCCAAATGTAGGTGACAAACTCCTATTTCTTTAAGTCACTTAATTAGTTGAGTTCTATTACTTGGTGACAAAAGTAATCTTAACAGATACAATGTGTGGTTATATTTTTATCCTTTATGCTTTTCTGAATTGTTTCAAGCTTATCCCCCCAAATATAATGGGGTTGTTACTGTTCATATGTGAAACCAAGGGACTGAAAATATAAACCACAGTACATACAAATAAAAGGATGCAATGCAGTTTTCAAGATGTTCACTGCCGGAAACACTTAATAGTATTAACATTCGCGATACAGTCAGTGAAGAGAGTCAAATGCCAAAGAGCAAGCACACTAAAATCTCTGTTTAAAAACTTATTTTTTATTATGACATTATAGATGATTTTATTTTCTTCTTGCTGCTTTCCTTCATCTGCTAACTTTATAAAAATAAACACATTTAGAAAAGGAAAAAATTAAGAAAAAAATGATATCTGCATACACTTAGCGGTGAAGTTTTCCTTAATAGATCTGCACAAACTAAAATGCTCCAGTGTTTCTTCTCTTTGAGAAGGACCAAAGGAAAGCCCAGATACAATTCTGAATATCAGAGAACAAAAATTACTTCCAACTAAAGGCAATCAGGCAAGGTTTCACCTCCTCCATGAAACCCTGCCATCTCTTTAACTGGAAACTTCTCCTCGGAAATCATTAGTCCCTTTTCTGTACCCTTCCTATGGCAACTATTACTTTGCACCTTTTACTTATATTTCCTTGGTAATATACCATAACTTCAGTTACTTATAGATATCTTCTATGAAACTGAAATGGCAACCCACTCCAATATTTTTGCCTAGAAAAACCCATGGACAGAAGAGCCTGGTGGGCTACAGTTCATGGGGTCGCAAAGAGTTGGATACAACTGAGCATGCATGAAATTGCAAACTCTTAAAAAAAAAAAAAAGAAATCGCAAACTCTTTGAGGGTAAGATGTGGAGAGGGTAAGACCCACTCCACAACCCAGACAAGCAAAATGCCTTAAATACTATCAGGCACTAAAATATTTTAAGGAAGGTAAGTGACAGAAAGAGAGGAATATAAGAGACAGTTTAAAAAAATGGGGGGTGGGGATGGGTAGGGAAATGGAGAATAGAAGATGGAAAGAAGGGTAGCAGTGGCATGAAGGAAAGAATGGTACCAATAACTATGATAGTACCCCAGTGTTCAAGGAGTTCGCTATCGAGTACTGAAGACATTTATAAACAACTATGATAGCATGTAGTAGGAGCTATATAATAAAACATGTACAAGAAACATGGTATCTTTGTATTGATATCATCTCTACCAATATACAAAAAGTCCAACTTACTTCCTCATTTCAGCTTTCCTAAGGGATAACAATAATTACGTCAATAATTTCTTTTGTTATAAACAGTATAAAACTAAAACACCAAAATCCAAGTAGCACAATAGCTTCTGACATCTGCCCTTTTTAATACAAGAGTTAATATTTTAAGGAAAACCAAATCAGTCAGATGTGCTATGTATATAGGTGCAGACATGAGTTAACTATATTCAAGATGGGACTCCCTCACTAAAACAAGTAGGGCTGAGACAGGATAGGGGCAGGACACAAGCTTTAAAAGAATGACATAGCCCAAGGAAATTACATAAAATGATTAGAACCAACTAGGTCCAAAACAGCCTACTTCTCTTAGACCTTGGCCTTAGTATACACTCATTGAAATACATCAGCAAGGGAAGGAGGAGAGGGTGAAAAGAATTGGGAGACTGGGATGACACATATATACTACCATGTGTACAACAAATAGCCAGTGGGAACCCCTTCATGAATCACGGCCTTGTCGTGGCAAAGCGACTTGCATAACTCAATGAAGCTACTGAGTCATGCCGCTGTGCGGGACAACCCAAGATGGATCGTATTGAAGAGTTCAGACAAAATGTGATCCACTGGAGGAAATGGCAAAGCACTCCAGTATTACTGCCTTGAGAATCCCATGAACACTATGATAAGGCAAAAAGATATGACACCAGAAGCTGAGCCCTCCTAGGTCAGAAGGTGTCCAATATGCTAATGGGGAAGAGTGGGGAGGCATGAATCACTAATAGCTCCAGAAAGAATGAAGCCACTGGGCCAAAGCAGAAACGACGCTCAGATGTGGATGTGTCTGTAAAAGTAAAGTCCAATGCTATAAAGAACCATATGCATAGGAATCTGAAATGTTAGGTCCATGAATCAAGGTAGATTGGATGTAGCCAAGCAGGAGATGGCAAGAGTGAACATCAACATCTTAGGAATCAGTGAACTAAAATGGATGGGAATGGGTGGATTTAATTCAGTTGACATTATATTTACTACTGTGGGCAAGAATCCCTAAGAAATGAAGTAGCCCTCTCACAGTCGACAAGAGTCTGAAATGCAGGACTTGGGTGCAATCTCAAAAACAAGGGAATGATTTCAGTTCATTTCCAAGGCAAATCATTCAACATCACAGTAATCCAAGTCTATACCCCAACCACTAATGTTAAAGAAGCTGAAGTTGACCGCTTCTATGAAGACCTACAAGACCTTCTAGAACTAACAACAAAAAAAGATGTCCTTTTCATTACAGGTGATTGGAATGCAAAAGTAGGAAATCAAGAGAAACCCGGAATAAGACAAGTTTGGCCATGAAGTACAAAATGAAGCAAGACAAAGGTTAACAAAAGTTTTTTCCAATAATCACGTACAGATGTGAGAGTTGGAACATAAAGAAGGCTGAGCACTGAAGAACTGATGCTTTTGAACTGTGGTGCTGGATAAGACTCTTGAGATTCCCTTGGACAAGATCAAACCAGTCAATTCTAAATGAAATCAACCCTGAATATTCATTGGAAGGACTGATGCTGAAGCTCCAATACCTTGGTCACCTGCTGCAAAGAGTAGACTCACTGAAAAACACCCTGATGCGGGAAGATTGAAGGCAAAAGGAGAACTGGGTGGCAGAGGATAAGATGGTTAGATAGCATCACCAACTCGCTGGACGTGAACTTGAGCAAGCTCCAAGAGATAATGGAAGACAGAGGAGCCTGGCATGCTGCAGTCCATGGGGTCACAAAGAGTCAGACACGACTTAGTGACTGAACAACAGTGGAAACCTGCTCTATCGCACACGGAGCTCAGCTCAGTGCTCTGTGATGACCTACAGGGGTGGGATGAGTTGGGGGCGGGGGTGGGAGTCCAAGAAGAAGGGGATATATGTACATATATAGCTGATACACTTTGTTTTACAGCAGAAACTAATACAATAATGTAAAGCTATTATACTTCAATTAAAAAAAAAACACAGCAGCAAGCTAAATGACACACCCACAGGTGCCATGACAGTTTCAAGGCTGATCATAAAGGTCAAAAATTAGGCAGTGGCCCAATTCCTGGAAATTCCCATCCATTCCCCAAAATGGCTGGAATACTCCTCCCACTCATTCGCCTATGAAACTGGGACTTCCCTGGTGGCTCAGACGGTAAACTGTCTGTCTACAATGCGGGAGACCTGGGTTTGATCCCTGGGTCGGGAAGATCCCCTGGAGAGGGAAATGGCAACCCACTCTATTACCCTTGCCTGGAAAATCCCATGGCTGGAGGAGCCTGGTAGGCTACAGTCCATGGGGTCACAAAGAGTTGGACACGACTGAGCAACTTCACCATCACTACAGGGTTAAGTGATAGGAAACTAGTTTACCCTCTAAAACCTGACAACACCACACCCTGGACTTCTCTTACCCTCTGAGATGACCCACACTCTATCTTCCTGCCTGAATAACCCTTCTTTCGCTTTACTATGGCACCTCTTGAATTCTTTCCTGTGTGAAGCCAAGAACCCACACTTGGCAAGTGTCCCAGGGACTCGGATGTGACCATCCTCTCGTGCCCCACTCTCTTTCCTGCAACAGGGCAAGTCTAATGGACACAGTGCCAAGAGTATAGTTACCAAAGATGGTTAGCCACTGCTGTCCTTTCCTCAGCCCTACCAGAAAAGAAGTAAAAGGTGTGGCTGTTCAAAAGTCTGCTGCAAAATCGTAGGCTTACTCCCCAGGGTAATCTGCCAATATCTGTCAGTAAGAAGAAAGTGCAGGTTCAGTTAAGAATACAAAAAGTGCAGCTGTGTTAAGAACTAAGCCATTTCATTCCACAAAAAGAGACTGAGATGTTGCCAATACAGACACTGTGAAGGTAAATAAGTACAGGCTCCTAAGGGCATTCACCACAACTATCGTGATCAAAACTACCCCAGGCAATGAGCATGTGGTACGTGCTCAGCAACAAAGTACTTAATTAATGTGAAAATTCTGTGTAATAGTAATAAACAATGATCAGTAAACAAATCAAAAATTTATCAGCAAGATAAACCCAAACATCAACTGACTGCAACAGACAAGAGACCACCATCAGGAGGAAAGAAAAAAGCAAAACAGAACAGCACAGGTTCCTACCTGGTTGCTTGGATCCAAGCCAGCATAAGAATTTCTTGAACTACAACCAACTGGGGGTGTGGCCTCTCGAATGAACTCAGCCATTTCAATCCCCCCACCAGGATCACTGTGGGGAAAAAAAAGAGAAAAAGAGAGTGTCCTTATTCTGACACCAACTGTTTTCTTTTAGTTTGTTTTTTAAGTTATATTTTTTTTCTGTAAAACTAAGAGGTTCATGTATTTAACAGAGCAAATAGAAAAAAATTATTCTTCCTTTGTAACTCCAATAATTTGAATTATTTTATAACCATGTCACTATTCCAAAATATTTAGAACTCTCTCCCAATCTGTCTACATCCACTCAGTATTAGAAACTGGTTGATTATAATTGTACCATACTAAATATAGCATGCACTTTATGATATATGCCATAAAACCACTGTAGCAAAGAGATGATTTGCCTTTTGTTTCCCAATGGCAAAGAGAAACTGGTCAGAAGGTAATGAGAAGTTACACAACCTGTTTTCTCCAAGAGTATAGTCTAAGCTGCTTAACACAATAAAGAACATGCATGAGAACAATGATTCTGGTCAAGCTATTTGTATCTGTACTTCTAAAGTTAACAGAATTTAACTGAGACACTAACTTCTTTTACAGAATTGGAAACCTAAGATTTTAGATTTGTAAATGTTGAGTTAGAAGGCACAAGTTTAAAAAACTGAAATGATGCTATGTAGTAAAAACAGGCATTAGAAAGACATAAGAGAAAATTACTAAATTCAAATAACTGAGAAGTCCACTTAAAGTACTTAAAAGATAATGGCATCCCAAAATAAGGAAAAAAGATCATGATAAATTTCAAAACACTTAATAAGACAATTTTATAATAAGGTTTCTCTAGAACAAACTTCTAGAATGATTCAGGCCTAAAAGTTATCATAATCCTATCTTTTGCCCCAAGTTTTTTATTCATTCTATCTGATGTATAGTCTATGAATTTTTTTAGCTATCATTACCAAGGATAATGGACTTCCCTGGTAGCTCAGACAGTAAAGTGTCTGCCTACAATGCAGGATACCCGGGTTCAATCCCTGGGTTGGGAAGATCCTCTGGAGAAGGAAATGGCAATCCACTCCAGTACTCCTGCCTGGAAAATTCCATGGACAGAGGAGCCTGGTAGGCTACAGTCCATGGGGTCGCAAAGAGTTGGACACGACTGAGCGACTTCACTTTCACCAAGGATAAAAGCTCTAATATACATGCTGAACATTATTGTGGACATAGGTTATTTTACCATTTGGCATCTAATTCAACCTCCTTGTTAACAAAAAGAAAAAGCAATCCCAAATTCTTCTGGTGAATCACCTCAACCCGAGCTCTCACATGGCTGGGGTAATGCTGACCCCACTCTCAGGGTTAGGGGGAAGCTGTACTGGCCAAAGTCAATCAGCATATCCCAATCTCTTGGTATAAACAATTAGTAATTCTACAATAAACACATGACCCAACTCAGGTCAGAAGCACTTTACTATTGAGAGAAGAAACTTCTTTGTATTTGCTTGTCTTAAATGCTGAGAAGAGTCACGGAGCTGCTGTAGCCATTTTATAACTGTAAGGGGAGAACCTGTCTGAGAAACCAACTAAAAGAAAAGCACAGCCTCGTAAAAGGAACAAGAGTCATGAAGTTACTTGAAATTCTGCACACTGTCACATCTGATGACACCCCTTAAACAGAGACTTTTCACTACTGTGAGCCATAAATTACCTTAACCCTGTTTAGGTGGGATGTTCCATCAACTGTAATCAAAAGATACAGGCAAACAGAACCTACTTACAAGGACACCTTCCATTTATGCATTTATCACTACAGCTATTTGCATTCTAGTGTGTTTTTTTAAATTAATGGTCTAATAATCATCACGTCCCTGTTCGCTTACTGGGTCCCTACGTTTAGGCCACTGACTGCAGTTGGCTAACTAATGTCCAATAATGGAAATCAGCTTTCTAACTTGTTGTTAGTTGCTCAGTCATGTCCAACTCTTTGCGACCCCATGAACTGTAGCCTGCCAGGCTCCTCTGTCCATGGGATTCCCCAGGCAAGAACACTGGAGTGGGTTGCCATTTCCTTCTCCAGGGGATCTTCCCAACCCAGGGATTGAACCTGGGTCTTCTGAATTGCAGGCAGATTGTTTACCATCTGAGTTATCTGTCTATAAAAACAACATATAATGGAACTCGGTTATGAATATGAGGGCAGACCCCATGTACAAATGTCCATGTGTGAGAAAACTGGAATATGTTCAACTGTGCTGGCCATTTGATGTTAAGTCACACAGGCTATCTAGGCCAGAATGATAAAAAAAACTTCTCTAATCTGGCAAAATATTAAGTGTGTATATATAAGCAGTTATCACCCATTGAACGAGTGATGAGTGATAACCAGCAATACTACTGCTAAACTCCACTGGAAAGCATCCTCTAATTCAGATTGCAAAGAATCAGAAGATGGTGAACAAGGTGAAAACCAAGGAATAAAATGTTCGATACCACAGAAAGGACAGACGGCTCTCATCTTCCCTAGTACCTATGCATCAGCTGTAATGATACATAATTCATATATCATACACTGAAACTGTGCAATTTGATGATTTTTAATGTATTCATAAAGTGAATGTGGTGAGGCATCCATAATGACAGTCAATTTTAAAACATTTTTATCATCTCAAAAGCAAAACCATTTAGCTATTAACTCACCTCCCTCCTCCCATCAGCCCTCAGCAACCTTTTGTAACTGGCTTCTTTTACTTAGCATAATGTTTTCAAGGTTCATACATGTAGTAGTATGTATCAGTGCTTTATATCTTTCTATGGCCAAATATTCCATCATAAAGATAGAACACATTTTGTTTATTCAATCATCAGTTGATGAACAATCTTTCTTAATTTTATGAATCACTTCTGAGAGCAAGTTCAAATGATTACAATTAGAACATAAAATAACAAAGCAAAATTTACTAAATATTTAATATATTCTAGTCACAGGGGCACATGTTTTATTTGCATTTTCTCATGAAACATTCCCCTAAAATCTATGCCATAAACACTATCATCCTCATTACACAGATGAAAAAACTGAAAAATGAAAGGTATAAAAACCTGCCTAAGTTCTCAGAGGAGCACACAACGTAAGCCAAGGTACTGGTATACGGAATTCAGGTGGGAAGGGAGGACACGAATAACACTAGCTCAGCACTCGACAGTGTTATCACATCTGTTCTTTCTGCTTTTGTCCTTCTCCACGAGAATGTAGGTACTCATAACCAGTAAGGACTGATAGTGAGATTTGAACACCAGGTCTAAGTCTAAAGGCCACAGTCTAAGATATCAATAATGCCTTTTAACAAATAGGCACTGAGGTTCTCTTTCCAGTTCAAAACCAAAAATAAACTCCATTATCTAGAGAACCTTTCTTAACATCAACACGACTGACATTTCGGGCCACATATTCTCAGCTGCTGGGGACCATCTTGTGCATTGTTAGGATGATTAGCAGCATCCCTGACTTCTATCCACCAGATGCTGGTAGCATTTCTCCCTGTGATAACCAAAAGTGTCTCCAAATATTGCCAAGTATCTCCTGTGGGGGACGGTCATCTCCAGTGGAGAAAAAATAATCTAGATCTAATGCTCAATGCTCAACACTGAGTAGGAGCTACTTAGGGAGGAAAAAAGATGAAAGAAAAAACAAATAGTTCTTTTCTTGCAAACCTGCTGTACCTTTCTCTTCTCTACAAATTAAGAAGCAGAACTTTTAGTCAGTTATCAGTGTCCTAATATATAACTTGAGTGAGAATTTTCTTTACTAGTAAGGCTTATAGATTTTCGGCAATGGTGATTTCAGCACGTACCTGGAAAGTAAGTAGTTTACAATTCCCACAGAAGCAAAGTGGTCTACTGCGGTAAGCTGTAGACCAAACTGACCAAATTCAGGGAATCGCTACCTTTATGATTTAATTTCCTCATCTGTTAAAAAAAAAAAAAAAAAAAAAAAACAGGTACAGGGGAAAGAGGGTCTAATCTTTCCCCTGTAGATTAGAAAGTAGAAAGGGTCTAATCTGAATTATAAAGAAGATGTCACAAATCAATTTGTTGATAACTAATATCATTAACAGCTCAGGCTCTAACTAGAACTTCACAGTACCACCTCAGTACTAAATTTACAAACCTAAATCAAGACCACAAGGATGTTCATAAAAGCATGAACAGATAAAAACAAAGTCCCTAAACAGAATAAATCTTCAGAAAATTTAGCCTAAAACTCACCTGCGCATATTTTTAAATAGATCCTTAATTTACAATATTGCAAGCATCACTGCACAAGAAACAGAAAAAAGATATGTTCTGTCTTCACATATTCATATTCTAAAATTCAACATGCTCATTTCCTCTCCTGAAACGTTAAAAATGTAATACATATATAAATACGTTGACTCATTCTTTAAGATCAAGATTTAAGATCATTATTTCTGAGCTGCCATACCACAGCCAATGGCAACCAGAAGCAGAAGCAGTCAGTCCTACTACATTTGTTCATCCATGCTACAAACCAACAGCTCTAATGTACCAAGCACAGTGATAGGCTCTGAAAATAAGTGTATCTGTCTTCCTGTTCATTTCTGTTCCTCAGAACAGAGATTTGTAAGTGGGAGAGTGAGGGAAAGGATATGTCAAAAGCAAATTCTGCAACAAAGATCTTATTTAATGGTGACGCTTAAAGACACTCTCTTTAAGATTAAAGAAAGACAAAGATGTACACCAATACTATTTCAATTTAACCATGTGTTAGAAGTTATAGCCAATGAAAAGTTAAACAAGAATAAGGCATAGAGAGGAAGAAATAGAATTGCCATCGTTTGCAGCAAATCAAGAAATAACCTACAAAATTTTACCATTAATAAGGGAGTTTAATAAGGTTGCTGGAAGCAAAGAAAACTGCTACATTTAAAGGGACAAAAACAAAAACTAATTAGAAAAAGTTGATAGAATTTAATAAAAACTATGAAAGCCTTTTTAATGGAGAAATGATAAATCTTTACTGAAAGACATTAAAGAAGATTAAATAAATGG